AATTGTTAAGTTTTAAATTTAAATATTGGTTATTAATCAAATTATTATAGAAAATGGACAAAGTACCGTAATATACCACCTACTCCTCTACATAATATCGGTATATTGTTACCATACTTATGTGTTTCAGATTACGACTTTTTTTACAGCAACATGCAACTTCGAATTTATTTTTAAAGAACTATCATATATTTTCATTACCATATTATGTATTATACTTTATAACTCTTATTATTTTAATTCTAAAGAAGTAAGTATTATTCGTAATTTTATTTTTGTGGAAGAGCTCTTTTATCCCGAGAATTTTAATTCACATAAGTAAGAAGAATTTTAGAAACATTAATTGTTTAAATGATAGGTGAAATATTTGTTAAAACAAATAAAATTGAACTGGAATTCAATCGAAGATAATAGTGAAATTAGAATATTAGAGAAATACGAAAATGAAAATCATCTTCTGTCACTAATTTCAAGTTGTAAGTAAACTATGAAATAAATATTAAATAACACATTTTTAATATGTACCTGTCTGTTTGAAACTTTTACTGTTTGCTCACGATAATTACGAAGGTTGTTTATCATTTTATTATTTTTAATGTCTAGTTGTCATCGTATTTGTTATATTTTTTATTATAATTATTGAATTGATACCAGTTATCCTTGACACTGTCACACCGATGAATAAATCTCGACCACGTAAAGTAAAAATAGATTTTGAACTTTTTATCGACGAGGAACAGTATTTTTATATTTATTTAATATATGAAATCGTAACTTTAATAATTCAAACACTTACCGTTCTCGGACCGGCAACATTATCGTTTGCGCTCATCAGGCATTGTTGCGCTAATTTTAAAATCGCTAGGTATGTACCTATCCTTTAATTTTGCTGAAGAAAATAATCTGTGTTGAGGTATTTGTTGATTATATAAAAATTGTTTATAGTAATTTAATCGAAAAAACAGTGACTCAACATACGCTTCAAATTCCTGCTTATAAGAAAACACATGTGATGTGTCAGAGAATTAATCGTGCTATTCATATTCATAGAAAAACTATTCAGTTAGTGGTTACTTTATTTATTCTTTTAACATTATCATTTACTATACATGACGCACATTAATTTTAATTTAAAAAATTACATTTTATAATATAATTAACTCAAGGGTATGAATTAAATTTTTCTTCGTTATTGAAGGTTTTCTACATTTTATATTAATATTATGAACAAATGGTATTTCACTTTATCGATAATCGGTGTGATGTCTTTAAGCTGCAATCTTTTTCGAGTAAGTAATGCACTTATGTACTTATTATATTTTTTTTGTCTCACATTTAATTCAATGTTTATATTTACGAATTCGTGTATTACATACAAATTGAAGTACGAATAATAATATAATACATTTTTACAGTTGTTTAGTTCATTAACTGACGCTTCGAATGAATTTTCCGAAATATTAATGTGTATCTTTATGGTAATAAGTCATATTATTACGTTGTTTGGATTTAATTTTGTTGGACAAACAGTTTCCGATCATAGCGCAGAAATATTTAATGCTGCGTAAGTATCATATATACATTAAAATCTCCATTGAACGAAATCATTTCATTTATACGAAAGTCAGTCTTTACATATCGTATAATACTTTTTATCAACTTCTAAACTACTTTATCCTCCAAATATAATCATAAATTTTAATAAATTTATAAAAGATAAATGTCGTTACCGCCCGCTGGTATGTGTTCAAAATAAAAACACAATAATATAGTTCAATTTTTAAAACGAGCAAACCTGAGTAACACATAAAATTAATTATTTTATTAGTAGATATGAAATTTTTCGGTACGTTTCGACTTAAGCGTCAATTATAGTATCTTTCTTTGTTACATCATGCGCTTATAACTTGCAAATTATCTTCGGCGAAAGAAGACTAAGTTAAGTCGAAACGTACCGAGATTTTATATATATTAATAAAATAATTAATTTTATCTATCTTCCGGGTTTTCTCGTTTTAAAAGTTAACCTTTATTATTGTGTTTGTTTTTAATTTTATTTTTTTAATATTGAATAATCCATTTTTTAAATTAGATTGATAATATTTGAAGAGATACATTATTATTTTAGATTAATATTTACATAAGTATTTGGCCTATTATTTCATAAAACAGGAGAAGAATATCTATTTTCGGTCATATAGAGTATCTTCGTACTTGTAACGTTTATATTCAAAGTACCCTACACAACTTATATTTACTAATCTTTTTAGTAAATTTGCTTGAATTTGTAATGTGTAGTTCTTGCATCTTTGATCAAAAATTTCAGTGGGCAATGTATTTCTATGGCTAATTGCTGAATAGATTTGAACGTTTTTTTTACGTGATCCGTTCTTGCGTGCGTTCTTTTACACAAACACTTGTATGTCGCGTATACGTATTCGTGTTTGTAAGATATGAACGTACATGCTGTATGCACGCGTTTGTGTACATATATTAGGGATGTGCGATCTCCATTAATTGAATCGATCTCTCAATCATTCTTGAATCAGATTGATTGAATTTGATTTATTAAAAAAATCGGAGCTGAATGAATCGATCTATCGGAAATCAGAAATTGATTCAATTAAAATTTTTTTAGTAACGTCATATAAATTCAACAAAAACAATAAAAAAATTAATACACGATTCTGATTTGTATCCGAATAAAATAATTTTAATTTAAAATTCTAGGTTCAATCTAACATCTGTATTTCTTAACTACTGACGTAAAATCGGTAAAAAATATCGTATATAAACCCATTAAATTCAATATTATAACTGTCTATTGGTGTTACAAAATAAAATTTAAGTAGCATTTATTTATATACTTTGTCAGTAATAATTACCAGTTGTAACTACGGATATCATTAAGCCTGATTAATGGACAGTAGACATAGACAGTGTTATAGGCACAGTAATGTTATCAAAATTTTGGATTCTTTGGAACACGGCATATGTAGAACTAATTTTCAATAAAATTGTAAAGATCTAAATGAAAATATTAAATTTTTTGAATTATATATAATCATAAAACATATGTATTTGTTTAATAGTGCAACATATGCAATTTGTTTAATAGATACAATTAAAATAATTACGAAATCATACGACTTTTTAAATAGCTATTCTTATGAGAATGAAACCTGACAACGGTGTTAATATATTGAAAAATTTATGGTAGTTATGGGGATGCTAAACCGATTACCGAACTTGATCTAGGTCGATAGTATAGACTTTTGTAATAATATATTCGATAATAGTGCTAACATCTTTGATTAATGTCTTACATTATATTATATAATATATATCGTTCTGTCTTACCCAGACGCATACATCTGTCCTTATCTAACATATGCCAGCACCATCTATCGCAAGACCGCGCAACTACTACTACATAGAATTTCGGCTCTGTTAACAGTCCCAGTCTTCGCAAAGCACCTGTACACACGTATTTTCCATTCAGTGACGATACTTTTTTTCTAGACTTTCAATCTTAGTTCTACAAACTCGGTATCGTTCGTTCCAATAATGTGACCTTAGCTGCACGTTTATTTTCAAGATATGGACTCTAAAACTCTTATATCAAGCAAATATATATCTGAGGTGACAGCTGTACGAGCAAAAAGTAAGTGAATTTTTTAACTTTTTTTCGATTTTCTCATGAAATCCAGTACAGCTGAGGTCCTGTTTATGCGTACTTTAATTTATGTAATAATACTGTTGCAATCCGTAAATCCAATCCGAAGATTTTTCACCGAATGGAAATGTGGGTAAAACAGAAGGCTTTAGTACATCGCCTTAAAAGTAAAAAGAAAAAGAAAAAAGAAACTAAGATGAAGTGTTAATCATTTGGTCTGTTTTCTGTTCCTGCACTAGACTGTTCTAGAACTCTTTCTCGCTTTAAACAAATATCAAACGTATATCTATCTCACTTTAAGTTCCAAAAGTGTACACTAGTTCAGCCACAAAAAACAGACCTATTACTGATCAGGGTGTAGACAGATGTTATTTCATCCTTGTATAGCACTCGGTGAGCAACAGGGATGAAATCATATATCAGAACATCTCTTGAATTACCATAAAATCCATCCGTGCACTTCAAAGATCGATCTCTTATTAAATGAATCGATCTACTTCAAAATCGGGCCTTGACTAATCGATTAAACAATCAATCTATTTTTACAAAAATATCCGTCTTTCAGAAAATTGGATCGAGAACGTACATCCCCAACATATATGCTTAGAATTTCGACAGAACGATTTCAGGCTTCTTTATAGTTAAATATCCCAGCTGTGCTCTATTGAACTGTATTGCTAATGCAAGCAGAAATCAACGAGATAATCCAGCAATAGATGAAAGTGTAGAATTATAATCATATAATATTATTGTTATGATTACTACTTTTATTTAATAAAATCTTTAAGGACATAACCTGCGCACGCACGTACGCATTTACGGATATTTATATACACAGGCATCAGTAATGATATAGCCATACATTGTAATGTTTCGAATATCAATTGCTCATTTTATGTATACTTGTATAGTTGTTATTAAATGAATGAAAAATATAAACTACGTATAATATAAATGCGCAAGCACAAACAAATATCAATGTTATTAATAATGCTGAATCTAAACATTTTTATAAATTTATAGGTATAATACAATGTGGTATTTAGCTCCAATACCAATACAAAAATTGCTTTTATTTGTGATGCAAAATTCTCTGAAAACTCACACCCTAACACTTGGTTATATTTATGTAACATCTCTAGAAGGATTTTCTACAGTAATAAATACTTTATAGTGAACAGTAAACTAATTGTCTTGGAAAAATTTTACTTTATCTGTTTTTGTTGTATTTATTGCGTATTTAAAAAGACAATAATGTTACATAAAATTGTTTGCAACAATCTAATCTCGATGATTGTTTTACATAGTTATCATATTTTTTCAGCTTATAACTACAGCAGTATCGTACTTTACTGTAATATATACCACCACGATGAAATAATGCAAAACAAAAGTTCCAGTTGGTTATAGAACTTTGAATGTAGTAATATTTGCACGTATTAGTGACAGAAGATCATTACGGATTTTTAGGTACGTAATTATATGCTCAAACAAATCTTAAATCTCATATTATTACATAAAAAGTAAATAGGTGTACAAATAAGTTTCCATCGTTTTCTGGTTAAATAAAGTACAATCGTTTTTATAGAAAAAAAAGACTTGCCTTATTCAAAATATTTGCCATCGAAAGCTATAACATTCCCCCACTTTTCAGGCAATGAGTGGACTCCGCGACAGAAGAACTCTGGTTGTTTTGAAGTAATTCATTCATCAGCCAATTTTTGATATCGTCATAAGATCTGAACTGTTCTCCAGAATAACCGCTCTTCATGGACCGAAACAAATGGTAATCTGATAGAGCTGTGTCTAGTGAATACGGCGGGTGGGGTAGCACATCCCAGCCAAGTGCTTCTAAAGTTTCCTTGACTCGTTTTGCGACAAGTGGTCTGGCATTATCATGCTGGAAAATAATCTTGTCATATCTTTTCGCATATTCTGAACGTTTTTCTTTCAATGCTTGGCTCAAATTGATTAATTGTTGTTGATGACGTTCAATATTGATGGTCTGACTCGGTTGCAGCAGCTCATAGCACATCACACCTTTCTGATCCCACCAGATACACAGCCTAACTTTACTTCCATGAATATCCTGTTTAGGCGTTGATTCAGGACTTGGTTCACCTGGATGTACCCATGCTTTTTTTCGTTCAGGATTATTGCAGTGAATCCATTTTTCATCTCTAGTAACAATTCGATGCAAAAATGATTTTCTTTTTTGTCTTTGAAGCAACAAATTACATATGGTTAAACGATTCGCAATGTCTTTTTCTCTCAGTTCATGTGGGACCCAATTTCCTTGCTTCTGAACCCAATTCCCATCGCATTTAGACGTTGGGAAATACATTGTTGGGTAACATTTAATGCCATTGTTAAATCTGTTTCTGTTTGGCATGGATCTTCATTGGGTAATGCTTCCAATTCTAGATTTTCAAATTTTTTTGGTGCACTTTCATGTTCTTTGTTTTCCACATTGAAATCATTACTTTTAAATTTTCTGAACCACTCTCTACAACTACTTTCAGCTAGATCAAGTTCACCATAAGCTTCCACAAGCAAACAGTGACTTTCAGCAGCAGTTATCTTTAAAAGAAAATAATGCAACTTGTCACAAATGCCGTTTTGGTGGCACAAAATTTAACATTTTCAATGCAATAAAAAAATTTGTTATTTACGCTGCACTCTAATGTCATATACTAAATCTTAAACCTTTCTTAGGTACCCAATACTTACAATTAGATATGCTACCATCTTAAATTACATGCAATACTGATAACGACATCTATTAGAAAACGATGGAAACTTATTTGTACACCAATATATGCTGTACTATTAGCAGCATTAAAATGTCAAAAATATATTTTCAATTTTTAGCACTTAACATATAATACCTGCAAGCTGAAGTCATATATGTCATTGTGATAAGATAATCCATGATTCGTACTGCGCGGTTTTACTATGCAGCGAGTGTTAAAATGCTACAAATATGGAACCTGAGACTATCTGAGATTAATCTTTTCTTTAGTTTGGGACATGTCTTTTACTTTTACTTATTATTACATACATTTTTTACTTTTACTTATTTAGAGTGTTATTGTTTAAGGGCTTGTGTAATACAGATTAATTTACTGGACAATGCCAAAGTTTATTTTCGCCGTGTATTTCACTTTTTCTCATACCATCAATAAATAATGATGTAATTTATTTAAGAAAACAGTGAATGAACAATAAAATTTATTAAAATGTATCTTATTACACCAACGTTTTCATGAAAATTTTCAACCTACGGGTAATATATGGTTAACTGAAAATGATTACACCTCGTCTTATACCTATATAAAAGAGATACATAATTCAATACATTTTCAAATTGGAAGAAATTACGGGATACGTAATTCCAAATAATATTATAGTTTATGTAGTTCCTACTTAATTCCATGATTGTTTATAGCACGTCAAATATTCTCTCGTTAAACTTTTTAATAATTTCGTAAAACACTTCGAGAATATAATTATTTTATAAAACGCTGTTTCTAATTCTATGGATAGTAAAAATTTTACTTGAACGTATGAATTTTTTTCTGCACAACTATACATCTTTAAGTTACATTTATATACAGGGTATTTTCTCTAACTTGATCATTTAAAATATCTCCGTTGTTTTTGATGATATGGGAAAATACAACAGGGAAATTTGTTCGATTGAAAGAGACATATTATGATGAGCAAAAAATTTTTCTCAAGGTCACAGTTTTTGAGATTTCAAGATCATTGCGATTTTTTAAAATGAAATAACATATTTTCATTAATGTAGCAATGTAGTTTATAAAAAAATAAATTCAACTATACATAATATGTTGTCCTTCAGATGACCTTGGACATAAAAAAATCACATTTATATAGGAAAAAGAAGAGTTAACATACTTAAGTTTTTTCATTGAAGATATTTATTTACATTAGTTCAGAAGATGTTCGAATTGATTGCCATTAACTATCATACATTTTCGAATGCGATAAATAAATGATTGTTTTGCATATATTAGTTGTCGGCAAATCGCTTCTCAATGTGATTTATCTGCTAAAAGCGTTTGGAAAATATTGAAACGTCATAATTTTTGTCCTTATCGCATGTTTACATCAATCTCTTGGTGTTAACGATTTTCAAAATAGGCAAAGATTCTACGAATGGGCTCTACACCAGTTAGAGATTGATCAACAATTCTTCAATTATGTGTTGTTTACAGACGAGTCATCTTTTACAAATCATGGACAGTTAAATACACATAATATGCATTATTGGGACGTTGACAATCCACATTGGCTTCGACAAGTATAACATCAATATCCATGGAGTGCAAATGTCTGGTATGGTATTATTGGTCCACTTTTTGAAAGGAAATTTAAATGGACAAAAATATATAAATTTTTTAAGAGATGAGTTACAAATATTATTAGACGAAGTTCCATTGAGCCACGTATTTGAATGTAGATACAGCAGGATGGTTGTCTAGCACATAATGCACTTATCGCACGCAATGTGCTTAACAGAATGTTTCTCAATTACTGGATTGGGCGAATTTGTTGGCCGGCTCGATCGCCATCAGACCTTACGCCACTTGATTTTTTTCTATGGGGAATATTTATTATTTAAAAAGTCCAGTTTATTGTAATATTTCCACAACACCGGAAAACATGCAAGAAAGAATTCGACATCAATCAGAATCACTCGGAAATCATTGAAAATACGGAACAATCATTTATTTATCGCATTCGAAAATGTATGGAAGTTAATGGCAATCATTTCAAACACTTCCTGAACTAAAGTAAATAAATATCTTCATTGAAAACACTCAAGTATGTTAACTCTTTTTTTCCCATATAAATGTAATTTTTTATGTCCAAGGTCATCTGAAGGACAAATATATCATATATGGTTGAATTTGTTTTTTTATGAACTACATTACTACATTAATGAAAATATGTTATTCCATTTTGAAAAATCGCGATGATCTTGAAATCTCAAAAACTATGATCTTGAGAAGAATTTTTTGCTCATAATAATAAGTATCCCTTCCAATCGAACAACTTTCCCTATAGTATTTCCCATATCATAAAAACAATGAAGATATTTTAAATGATCAAGGTAGAAGGAAAACACTGTATAGGTATCGATATTATAAAATAGAAATTACCGAACTGCATTTCTAAGGTGAATTATATTTCAGAATCTTATAAGAATTTAACACATACAATAATTACATGATAATGTTGAAATGAACACATATTAAAGAAAATCTCCATTATTTATTATGTCAGAACATCCTTTTATATAATTCCAAGCAATGCAATTAATAGGATTCGGATGTTTGGATACGACCCCGTGCGCACGGAGCATCGTTGCGTGCTTTGTGTTTATATTTAATAGACCGCACGTCAGTCAAAATGTTGGTACTACGCTTCAACAAGTACTCGATTCACTTTTGAGCGCAATGGTTCTCCGCACGTGCCTCATAATCTTGCCCAAACGTCTAAATCCTATTAATTGCATTACTTTAAATAGTACAAAGAATGTTCTGACGTAAGAAATAATGTAGATTTTTTAAAAGTATTTCCTCCACTTGTGATAATATTGATCCTAGTAAACATTACTGCCTTTATAAAAAAACCAATAACATATATTTGTATAATGCATGTAACACAATATTCAAAAGAGAAGAATGCTTTCGAAGATCTAAGTTTCTAATATCTTAGCACTACAAGATGTATTCAATTGATTCAATATAAAATTTGTTTGTATACTGGGGGTGCGTGAGGTGAACTATATACACTGTCGCGCCCAGTTACCCCGATCTGCGCCGATCCAAACTGTAAGAATGTAATGAGAGGTATATCTTCTTGTAACATTGAAAATTACCGCAAAAATAATCGTTTTCAATGTATTATAGCATGTCTTTATTTCAAATGGTCGACGAAATTGTAGCACTTTTTGTTCTCACTACGTAATTATAGAAAATTATTAAATTACATAAACTACCATACTTTTCTTTCACAAGAGATAGTTTGCAAAAAACAGAAAAATATTGAGTACGCTGTTATTCTGTAATTCTGCAATATTCCTATTCACACGTACTCCGTCCTTTAAGTAAAATGGTCTTTTCTGGCGAGCGTTATTACAACATTTATCGGATTTTGTTAACAGCGGTTGGTTTGTGGCCTTATCAAACGCCGATTATTATGCAAGTACAATCTGTGTTCTTCCTTGGCTCATATTGTTTCATTCTTTTATTCCAGGTATTTTATAACCATTTTCTTCTTACACTTAACACTTCTTTGAATGATTCTTTAAGAAGAAAGTGGTATTATGACTGTTGTAAATGTATTGGCTTCTCGTAATATCTCCGTTATTAAGTGACGAATTCGAATGATTACTTATGAAATTATTTACCTAACAGCTTTTACGTCATGACGATAATATGCTAATACATATTAGTCGACATTTATTAAAGCGCATTTTTATTTTCAAGTATATCGAAACGTTTTTATTATACACTTAATTACACATACTTTCTTATTCTTTTTCAACTTGAACAAATTATCGCATGAATATATGTTTACGTGTATTCTTTGCTATTTAACATTTTATTTGATTGAATACATTTTGAGTTATGCAAAGTTGAACAATAATATGGTATTTTGCTAATGTGGCCCTATAAATGTGCTGATTGTTGACAGTTTCTTTTTTGAGGTTTTCATATCAAAATAATATTTTCATCACTTGATTGTGGTACTACTGTTAGTCTATAGTTTATATTACATATATACAGATTTTTAGTACTAATCACCCCATATGCGGAAGGAGTATGTGACACACATACATTTGCATAATTTGAATACATACGTTCATGCAATATTTTGTTTTTTTATTAATTTTGTAACCAAATACTATTTTTTAAAAAAACTAATTTTTAAAATCTGTTTTTACAGAAGATCGTATTACCTGCAAATAGGACTGGGCACATTTCAAATACTTGTATTTGAAATACAAATACTATTTTAAATAATGTATTTCAAATACAATATAAAATTTATTTTATATTTTGTATTTCAAGAAGATTATTCAATGTATTTTGTATTTTAAATATAATTTCAATGTATTTTGTATTTGAAATATAAAAAAATTCTTAATAATGATCCTTGACAACAATAATAGTGTGTAACTTAAATTTTTTTTTCATATAACAGCGATACTGATTATTTTCGTTAACTTTCAAGCAGTGTCAAGTCATCAGTGTTATCAAATCTTATAATCTCGCACAAAAAAATAAGTTTCTCGTGAGATTCTCGTGCGGTTGGTAGCATAGAACAATAGAACTTTTAAAGAGTGCGAGAGAGTGAAGCCCCAGACACAATGCGAGGAAATAGCCATAGCGAAGAATAATATAATTTCAACCTATCAGAAATTGTATATTCCGGTGTATCGCAAACTGTTTGTGGCAAGTGTGAAGTGACATTGTTGTTTTTTTTTCAATTATTATGTTATGTTCTCAATGTTTCCTGCCAACTTTTGTTTCGAAGAATTATACTATATTAGAATTATTTTACTTTAATGTTTTATTATATTTGCTTATTACTCTGTTTAACAATCAGTATTGTATAATTTTTCTTCACAGTTTCTATACTATCACAATATTTTTATAGAGATGAATTCGTACGATTTCATTATTTATGTTATCATTTATTAAACAGCTTTATTAATTTTTTATGATAAGACACATAATGTCAGGATATTTATGAGAAATAACTGAAACAAATCAGTTACTTTTTTCCAGTCTTACTTTGTGTATTTACAATAAAAAATTTGAAAATGTTTTGTATTTTGTATTTTAAAATAATATTTTGTATTTAAAGTACAAATTTTAAAAGTATTTTGCATTTTGTATTTCAAATTGAAAAATAAAAAGTATTTTGTATCTTGTATTTAAAATACTATCTTGTATTTAAAATACTAAGATTGCCAGTATTTTGTATTTCAAATACTTTAATGATGTATTTTGCCCAGCCCTGCCTGTAAATAATATGTAAACCCCTGTTTTCATCGAGCCATTATGCAACGTCGTCATATATTTATAAATAGCGACATAAGTAATGAGTTTTTCGTAATTTCGAGTTAAACAACTATTTCATAAATATAATTGTTAAGCTTTAAATTCAAATAACAATTATTAACCAAATTATTGTAAAAAATGGAAAAATTGGGTGCCATAATATATCACTTTCTTCTCTATATAATTTCGATATATTGTTATCATACTTATATGTTGCAGTTAACAACTTTTTTGACAGCAAAGTGCAACTTGGAATTCATTTTTAAAAAACTATCATATATTTTTATTACCATATTATGTATTATAACCTATAACTCTTATTATTTTAATTCTAAAGAAGTAAGTACTGTTTGTAACTTTATTTTTATGGAAGAGCATTTTTACTCCGAGAATTTTAATTCACATCAGTAAGAGAAATTTCGGAAACATTAATTGTTTATATGATAGGTGAAATATTTGTTGAAACAAATAAAATTGGACTGGAATTCAATCAAAGATAATAATGAAATCAGAATATTAGAGAAATATGCTAACGAAAATCGTCTTTTGTCATTAATTTCAAGTTGTAAGTAAATTACGAAATAGATAATAAATAACACATTTAATTTACCTGTCTGTTTGAAACTATTACTGTTTACTTACGAAGGTTGTATGTCATCTTATTATTTTTAATGTCCAGTTGTCGTCGTATTTGTTATATTTTTTATTATAATTATTGAATTGATACCAGTTATCCTCGACGCTGTCATACCGATGAACAAATCTCGTCCACGTAAAGTAAAAATAGATTTTGAATTTTTTATTGACGAGGAACAGTATTTCTATATTTACTTAACATATGAAATCATAACAGTAATAATTGAAATATTTACCGTTCTCGCAACGGCAACATTATCGTTCGCGCTCATCAGGCACTGTTGCGCCACTTTTAAAATCGCTAGGTATGTGCCTATCTTTGAATATTGCTAGAGGAGATAATCTATGTTGAGTTGTTTGTTGATTATATAAAAATTGTTAGCAGTAATTTAATCGAAGAAACAGTGACTCATCATACGATTCAAATTCCGGCTTATCAGAAAACACATGTGATGTGTCAGAGAATTAATCGTGCTGTTCATATTCATAGAAAATCTATTCGGTTAGTCTTTAATTTTTTTCTTTTTATATTATTAGCTACTATACATGACGCATATTTATTTTATTTTTTTAAAAATCACATTTAAATATAATTAACTCAAGGATATGAATTTAGAATTTTCTTCACTATTGAAGGTTTTCTACACTTTATATAAATATTATGGACAAATGGTGTTTTACTTTAGTGATAATTTGCGTAATGTCTTTAAGTTGTAATCTTTTTCGAGTAAGTAATATACTTATATTCGTATTACATTTTTCCTGTCTTACATTTTATGTAATTTTATATTTACGAATTCGTATATTGTGTACATATAAATGAAAATATGTAGTAATATATATACATAGTAATATATATACATATATATATATAACACATTTTTGCAGTTGTTTAATTCATTAACTGATGCTTCGAATGAGTTTTCCGAAATAGTAATGTGTATCTTTATGGTAATAAGTCATATTATTACATTGTTTGGATTTAATTTTGTTGGACAAACAGTTTCCGATCATAGCGCAGAAATATTTAATGCCGCGTAAGTATCATATACTATACATTAAAATCTCCATTGAACGAAATCAATTCATTTATACGAAAGTCAGTCTTTACATATCGTATAATACTTTTTATTTCTAGACTACTTCATCTTTCAAATATAATCATAAATTTTAATAAATTTATAAAACATAAATGTCATTACCGCGCGCTGATATATGTTCAAAATAAAAACATAATAATATAGTTCAATTTTTAAAACGAGCAAACCTGAGTAACACATAAATTTAATTACTTTATTAGTAGATATGAAATTTTTCGGAAATGTTTCGACTTAAGGGGATGCTAAACCGATTACCCAACTCAATCAAGGTCGATAGTACAGACTCTTTTAATTCCA